CATCCACACTGTATCTATATATATCCCCTAGGGAACAATGGCTTAACGATATATCCTACAGGCAGCTACGGCTCCTAGATATACCCCTAGGGAACAATGGCTTATAGATATATCCCACAGGCAGCTACGGCTCCTAGATATACCGCCTAGGGAACAATGGCTTATAGATATATCCTACAGGCAGCTACGGCTCGTAGATATACCCCCTAGGGAACAATGGCTTATAGATATATCCCACAGGCAGCTACGGCTCCTCGATATACCCCCTAGGGAACAATGGCTTACAGATATATCCTACAGGCAGCTACGGCTCCTAGATATACCCCCTAGGGAACAATGGCTTATAGATATATCTTACAGGCAGCTACGGCTCCTAGATATACCCCCTAGGGAACAATGGCTTATAGATATACTGCCTAGGGAACAATGGATTCTAGATATATCCCCTAGGGAGCAATGGATTCTAGCTATATCCCCTAGGGAGCAACGGATTCAAGCTGTATCCCCTAGGGAGCAATGGATTCTAGCTATATCCCCTAGGGAGCAATGGATTCTAGCTATATCCCCTAGGGAGCAACGGATTCTAGCTATATCCCCTAGGGAGCTATGAATTCTAGATATATCCCCTAGGGAGCAATGGATTCTAGACATATTGTGGCAGAACCAGCCTCGCCACTGGGCATTGGAGAAAACTGATTGCCAGCCTCCTGCCATGTGACTATTGCCTGCTCACCTGTACTGCTGAGGATTGCTACCAACTAGGTGGATTTGGTTGTGGAGCTTATGTAGTGCCCTATGTTGGTAGCAACAGTAATATGCACTACTTGAATAGCAAGACTGGTAATTTGCATATTCGGGTAGATTGTCATATCGCTAATTCTGCATGCAGGAGAGACATTTTGTGTTAATTATGGTCTTCCCCACCCATTTATGAAATATGTAATTATGTTATAATAAGTCACTGTATGTTGCCTGCTATGATTTGACTGTTTGTAATTTTATTGAGTTTTCACAGCAATTTTTATGTAATGACCATATAGGCTAGTCCCAAGTAAAACAAAGCTTTAGACAGTTCTACTTCACCCTCAATTTGGAGTCCTGTCTCTTATTGGGGGAATCTGCTACAAGGGATTGCTATGCTCTGCATATACCCTTGCTATAATCACTCCTAAGCTCTTTTAAGAGTGTGTTCCTGCTTCGCTCTGAAGGAAGAGAGGTTCTGCTTGCAGTGGTTGTGGTGTCGGCTAGAGTGCTTGGAATCCTCAAGAAGCCCTAGGAGCATCCATCAACGGAGGTACCCAGTCGGGATGTCAGGTGATCCGTTACACATATGCTTTAGGGAGCTATGGCCTGACTTTAGGGAGCTATGGCTTTTAGAAATACCACGGGGCATATACATTCCAAGAATATCAGACAGGAAGCTATGGCGTTATATATATATTTATATCCCCTCGCGAGTTATGGCTTCTAGATATATCTCGTAGGAAACCAGGGGGCTATACATTCCAAGAATATCAGACAGGGAGCTATAGCTACTGTTGTAATTAAGCAATTTATGTAGAAGGCTACAGATGGACCTCTGTACTCTGGCTCAGCAAAAAATTGCTGATTGTGTTCTAAGTTCGACAAATAATTGCCATGGCAGCAGTGCACAGTTTGCGCCAGCAGTTCAGATGCTTTTAATCCACTAATAATGTAAAGTGTTTTGTTTTGTTTTTAAACTTGAGGAGAGTCTTGAAGGTTCGGTTGCCAGAATCTGTTTTAGTTTGTTAAAAATAGTGACTGTTGAAAATAACTGTCCGTTGCTTTAATCCTTACCCGCGCTGAGCACAGATAATTCATCATTATTTAATAAGTAAAGTCCAAGACATTTCAAATCTAACGTTTCTCAGTTTCCTGACTTATTTGAGCCAGAAATACAGCTAACCCGTGGACGGTGTCTGCTAGGGACAACTATTCCAAAACTAAGAATCACAGCATCATGTCTACAAATAAAACTCTAATACAAAGATGCCCCGAAATGACAGACCACTCTACCCTGATAGCTACACACAATGTGTTCATGTAAAGTACAACTTACAGGGGGTTAACCACTTTTACTGCCTACATACCAGAGCTACTCCAACTTTAGCAATTAGCCTGCATGTGCTGATAAATGTTTACAGAATATACAAGTTATACATACACACATCTAAGAGCAAGTTACAATATTTAGCAGACTGTGAGAGGTAAACCCATACAGTATTCAGAATTACGTACTCAGACCCTCCATACAGAGCCTGTAAAAGGTCTGTAATCTGAACACTTTAATGGACACGAAAATGGCCAATCGGTAACAGTGGTAAAACTAGGGAGTGATACAATGACTCTAAAATAAGAGCTAATTATACAGATACCCAGGTAAATCAATGAACTCTAAAATCCGTGTGAGCTAATACAGGAATTCGATCAAATCAATGAGAGCTAATGCAGGAACTCGATAAAATCAATGACGGCGGGGCCTGACCGCCATACAGACAAGTCGCACACGGAGTGAGCTCCTGCACAGAAAAAGCAAAAGAAAGAAAAAAAACTACTTTTCACTCGAGAAAACGAGCTCCGATACGGCTAGGGTTACTCTGCAACCACGAGAGAGACATCTTGCAAGGCATCTCACCACTCGACAGCCGGTCATAACCCGAAGCTTCTTTGGGACCTGCACGTGGGTACAGCGGAGGAGATACGGCCGGTCTCCCTGCTGCCTACATTGCTGGGGCACACAGAGGTGGAAGGGGCTCCTGTTCCCCCCCTTGCCGTTGAGGGATATCACGGCACCTACACACAGGCTAAAGCTTCCCACTAAGAGGGTACCTAACGACCCACAAGCGACCTGAACTCCGAGGCCTACCTAGTTGCACCAGTCAAAATGGCGGACACACTAAATGCCTCCCCAACACGAGGCCCGCTGGAAACAACCTTGCAGCGGCTAGAGGAGATCCTGGCTAATTTCTGGCAGCGGCCAGTAAACAAGCAGAGCCAGCACACGGAAGGTGGGCACAGTGAAAGCTCAATCCCACACTCGCCTCCTAACACTCCCCACGCTGGTGTCACGACACTCCTTAGTTAATATGCCCTCGCGCAATACTCACACTCACCCCTGTTTCTGTTTGGCACTGTTTCTCATTTCTTTTCGCTAAGCACTACACCTGGCCCTTTTTTAGCACCTATATATTCTGGTTTCTCCCCTCACTCCCTGTCAGATCATTATCCTTCTTCCTGTACCTGCTGGAGAATGATCTAAGTGACCAGGTATCTCTATCTGTTACAGAATTATATCAGTTTGAGAGAGAGTCGTCTCTGCTTCGGCTGGCCTCATGCTCCGAGAGACTGGGGAAGCCGTCCCTTGATGCATTTCTGCGGTCTGAGGAGGAGGGTTCGCAGTGTGCTCCTGATCCTGTACTCATTAATCTAGGGGATTCTTCTCAATTGATTCCAGTGGCACCTACCCAAGCTGACTGTAGCGGAGATGCAATATTACCCAGGTTATCTCCGCTTATAATCCAAGTGGGACTCAGGAACAAGTAAATAGTAAATCCACAGGCAAGGCTTCCAGCAGGTAAAATACAGCAATATCCCAACAGCAATCCCAATAACTGGACGACACACAGTTTCAGGAGCATAACTGACTAGCCTTTAATCACAGTCTCCTTATAAAGCATGCTCCCATGCAAGGGAGGGATTTACAGTAATTATTACAGTAGCCAATCCTGTCCTGGTAACCTCCCACACATCTCCTCCCCTCAGCCAGCATCATAATCCCCTTATCCAGCACACCAATTCCCCCCGTTTCTGGATGTACCCCTAAACGTAGGGGTACCTCTTTAAATCCTACATCCCCGGATACCCCTGATCTGGGTGAACAACATATCCAAAAATCACCCAGATCAGACCAGGGGTTCGGGAAATGTATGGAGGGAATAAAATGACCGACCGCACTAACTGATATAGCCGAATAAGGTTCCATGCGAATGGGCCCTGCGGTCGGTCCTGGCATAAGGGAACAAAATACACGAAAGCCTCTAGCTATAGAGGCTAGGGAGGGTTCGCCTGAATCCCCTCGTTCGGTATTTTCTATCTACCGAACGAGGGGCCGTTCGGTAGTTTGGAACCGAACGGACCAGGGCTGTGGAGGTCTCAGCGGTGTTCGCCTACTCGAGTGTCCGATTTTAGTTCCAGACACTCGACGGCAAAACACCGCTGTTCGGGAGTTTTAAAATGGCCGCCGCCACGTGTTCGTTTGTCGAATGGCGGCCACCCCCGAGAACAAAGGACGGCTACTTACTATTCAATTACCCGTTCGCAACAATGTTGCAATGGGTAATTGAGGACACACTTCACACAGGGGAGGTCTGGTTGTTCGGTAGTTTCATTCGAATAAACTAAGGGAATGAAACTACCGAACAACCAGAGGAATACAATTCTTTTTAATACATAGAAAATACAGCAGATACACGAATGCAGGTAAAAACAGTATATTTGTAGGGTCGCCTGGTGCTATCCGCTACACTGACTCTGAGACTATTCTCCCTTCTACAAGAGTTGCACCACGGCCTTTATTCCGACGAACTAACAAGCCAGAAACCTAGTCAGACCCAGGATCTCTGAGTGATGCTCCTGTTTCTAGCGATAGCCCCAGGTCTAGTAGGATGACACGTTTGTCAATCACTGGTAATGTGAGCTCCTTATCGTATGTATCCTTGATTTCTGTTTACGTGTCTACCCTCCTGGTGTAACATGATTCTCTATGGTCCTTATTTTTCTATGCTCCCACCATGCCTCGTTGGTTTCTTCCTTGGGACTTTCCATTTGTCATTCCTCCTAAGCCTCCTCCTTGTTTTCCTCACTTGGTTGGGTGACCCGGGTTCTCTTCTGTCACCTGTAGGGGGTCTTGGAGGTTTGGAGCGCCGGGAGTCGCTCCTTAAGGGGGGGCGGCACTGTCACGACACTCCTTAGTTAATATGCCCTCGTGCAGTACTCACACTCACCCCTGTTTCTGTTTGGCACTGTTTCTCATTTCTTTTCCTTAAGCACTACACCTGGCCCTTGTTTAGCACCTATATATTCTGGTTTCTCCCCTCACTCCCTGTCAGATCATTATCCTTCATCCTTTATCCTGTACCTGCTGTTTCCTGGTTCCCGTGATTCTGACTGCTTGCTCCTGTGTCTTGTATCCTCTGTATCCTGATCCTGTGTTCCTGTTCCGATGTCCTTATGGTCCTGTGTTCTAGTCTCTGCCTGGTCCTGTGTCCTGTGCCTCCCGTTCCAGTGTTCGCTTGCAGTGTTCCTCCCTATACTTCATTTCCAGTGATTCTGACCTTGCTGCCTTATTTACGTGTACTCTGCCTGCTCTATTTGTATTTATATTGATATTTGATGTCTGACATGTCTGATCCTTATGAAAGTCCCTGCTGGGACTGAAACGTTGATCTTTTAATGGATACTCAATAAATTGTTATTTTTTAATTCTTGAAAATCCGAGAGTGCTGATCACTATTTGAATATATATATTTGTGGCATTGTACATATATTTTGTTTTTGTATATTATATCCTTTGGTTTTCTTTAATACATATTTTCTTGATTGCTCCATTCATCGTGTCCTTGCATTATTTCTCTGCTAAGTTGGTTCCCACATTTAAAGGGACAGTGCTGTCGCAGGGCAGCACCCCTTCATGTCCTTACAGCTGGGCCTGGCCGGGTTAAGAAGAGGATTAAGCGGCCTGGACGGCATTGCCGAAAACGGCTCACATGCTCTCCCGCTTTCCAGAGGACAAACACCCGCTACCGGAACTCAGAGCTGAGAGCCATGAAACGGACTAATCCGTACCAAGAGCATAGCCGACACCAAGCCACAAATGCCAACAACCAGGACATGAACAACCGAGCTAGCGGGGGCAGATTGTGGGCCTGTGCAGAAACCCGGGGCCAGCGACAAGGACAGCAGGAGAAGAGGGAATTATCTAAGCAGGTACAAACACTGCTATTGATGGGAATCGGCTGATCCAGATGCAGGACACTAAGCTGGAGCTCCGCGCTACAAACCATGGACGCTCCACACTAGACTATATGCTCAATGCTTACAACCGAGAATACCATCTTGCCTACAGCTAGTTATTCTATGTTTTTTGCAATACTCACCTACATTCAGCATAATAGCAATAGGATGCCCAGAGCCCTCAGTGGCAATAACACATCTTGCTCAAGTCTACATACGTATACCCTGATTTTATGCCCACGAAGATATAATACTATGTCAGACCTACGGTCGGTGTTTAGCAGTATAGGTTAATGAGCACACACTAGGCTTCACTCATGTCAGCTACTGGTGATAATAGCCTAGCCCAGTTAAGAGACCATCACCCTTTCTCACTATTGCTAGCATGTCAGTACCTTTTATAAGCAGATTTCCTTGTCATATAGCCCGCGTGAAATGATGTGACTACCATATCTACTCATTGATGTATTAAGCCTGACTAACAAAATTAAAAATGTGTAGTCCTTGCCATGTATTTACCTCCGTTGATATGCTCCTATGGGATCTTATGGCGGTGCATGCATTTTTGTCAAGCAATTAACATACACAGCGGTTCTTGCTGTGTTGCTATTTAACTCTCCTAATAATCTCACACGCATAGAATAGGACACATAGTATTTATGCCATAAGCAACGCTCATGCACCTACTCAGCCCTAGAGGCAATACTTACCTCGTAGGCTCAAACCATGATTAATGCTTAATGTTTACATATATTCCTGATAGTATTCAAATTGTCTACTCTACTCCTAGTGGTTACCAGCCTGGTTAAAGCTAATGTTGAAGCAAATGTTATAGACCTCTTTAAAAACTCTTAAAAAAAAAAAAAAAAAAAGAAAGCGACTACAGGAACTCGATCAAATCAATAAGAGCGAATACAGGAACTCGATCAAATCAATGAGAGCTAATACAGGAACGCGATCAAATCAATGAGAGCTAATACAGGAACGCGATCAAATCAATGAGAGCGAATACAGGAACTCGATCAAATCAATGAGAGCTAATACAGGAACTCGATCAAATCAATGAGAGCTAATACAGGAACGCGATCAAATCAATAAGAGCTAACAGGAACTCGATCAAATCAATGAGAGCTAATACAGGAACTCGATCAAATCAATGAGAGCTAATACAGGAACGCGATCAAATCAATGAGAGCTAATACAGGAACTCGATCAAATCAATGAGAGCTAATACAGGAACTCGATCAAATCAATGAGAGCTAATACAGGAACGCGATCAAATCAATGAGAGCGAATACAGGAACTCGATCAAATCAATGAGAGCTAATACAGGAACTCAATCAAATCAATGAGAGCTAATACAGGAACTCGATCAAATCAATGAGAGCGAATACAGGAACTCGATCAAATCAATGAGAGCTAATACAGGAACTCGATCAAATCAATAAGAGCTAATGCAGGAACTCGATCAAATCAATGAGAGCGAATACAGGAACTCGATCAAATCAATGAGAGCTAATGGAGGAACTCGATCAAATCAATGAGAGCGAATACAGGAACTCGATCAAATCAATGAGAGCTAATGGAGGAACTCGATCAAATCAATGAGAGCTAATACAGGAACTCGATCAAATCAATGAGAGTTAATACAGGAACGCGATCAAATCAATAAGAGCTAATGCAGGAACTCGATCAAATCAATGAGAGCTAATACAGGAACTCGATCAAATCAATGAGAGCTAATACAAGAACTCGATCAAATCAATGAGAGCGAATACAGGAACTCGAAATCAATGAGAGCTAATACAGGAACTCGATCAAATCAATGAGAGCGAATACAGGAACTCGATCAAATCAATGAGAGCGAATACAGGAACTCGATCAAATCAATGAGAGCTAATACAGGAACTCGATCAAATCAATGAGAGCTAATACAGGAACTCGATCAAATCAATGAGAGCTAATACAGGAACTCAATCAAATCAATGAGAGCTAATACAGGAACTCGAGCAAATCAATGAGAGCGAATACAGGAACTCGATCAAATCAATGACAGCTAATACAGGAACTCAATCAAATCAATGACAGCTAATACAGGAACTCAATCAAATCAATGAGAGCGAATACAGGAACTCGATCAAATCAATGAGAGCTAATACAGGAACTCGATCAAATCAATGAGAGCTAATACAGGAACTCGATCAAATCAATAAATAATGCAGGAACTCGATCAAATCAATGAGAGCGAATACAGGAACTCGATCAAATCAATGAGAGCTAATGAGGAACTCGATCAAATCAATGAGAGCTAATACAGGAACGCGATCAAATCAATGAGAGCGAATACAGGAACTCGATCAAATCAATGAGAGCTAATACAGGAACTCTGTGGGGATATTTATGGGATAATAATAGTAAACAGTTGAGAATTGCCCACTAATTCAATTCTCAGATCCCAAATATCGTTATCGTGTTAAGTGAGAAGTATATCATATAAATAATATTACAATTTTATTATAAAAATAGATTTTTATTTATAATGACTAATTAATAATAATAACATGTAACATGCGTGACAATAATCAATGAATATTCAGTATAAAATGGTATGCAATACAAAGGAATGGGTATTACGTTTCAATGGCTATTAACTCTGAACAGCATTTTCTGTCAAGTCTTTATTTATGACTATCTTTAACACAGACTGAAAGTGAAACTTTTCACAGAAGAACAGAATTCTTCAGAGTGCAGCGTAAGGTCGTAAAGTTTAGCTGACAGTTAGAATAACCCTTTCAATGCTGGCTAGATCTCCTAGGTAGTTAAGATCTATTCTTATGTAATTTTAAATAAAATAACATTTAAACCAGTTCATTAGTCATTTCCTGGAACCATCCAATAAGAGAATCTACCATATTATATAAGCAGATTTTAATTTGTCTAAAAGATATCTATCTTAATTTAGAGCAAATCAATACACCTGGATAAAAACAGCGGTATGCTAACACGCGATAATATCACATCAATATATAATTATTCTTAATTCCACCTGCAGAATGGAATGTTTATAACTATATATTCTTTAGTTAACTAAGATTTCTTAATATGGAAATCTGACCGTGCTTTATCCAGTCATATATAATGCTATTAATACATTTTAATTAATTTAATTAAATGAAACCAGTATAATTACCAGTTGAGTAGATATTTCATCCTATTGGTAGTCTCAGGAACTTATTTGGATGTCTCTCTGCTTGGAGGTTGGAGTCCCCAAACTTCCAATTCCTCTCTCCTCTTTTCCTTTCTCCTTTGCATCTCCTGCCTTGCATACCTTGCCTCCCTCAATCTTCCCTTTGTCCTAACTTTTAAAGGGCCAGACTCTCTGTACGTCATCAGTTGATAACCCAATAAAAGCACTAGAGGTGTGGTTATCTTCCAGATCGCAATTTAGTTATTTGATCTATAGAGGGCAGTCTTGTCCCACTAAACATACCTATCCAGGAAAGAGTTAACTTTTCCTGGTGGCTATTTTGACATCATTTTGCGTTATCTTTATAGTGCCATAATTTAAAATTTCAAAGGGTTTCTTAAATTTTGTCCAGACTATGTGTCTGGCAAATCTGCTATAATTTCTGATATGGCAGATCATGAACTAAGTTTACCCTTTTCCATACAATGGTACCTTATATATATAGAGAGTTAAATATTATTATTTAATCTTCTCTGTCACAATTGTCTGGGTTTAGATTTGATTATATTCCATTAGCATTTTAGACAGTCTATCCAACCCCCGTTTCTGCTTATCACTTGTTTATACTATGCTATGCATTCCTTAGCTCTGGCAAAGTGGCTAGTCTTACAGAAAGAAATCTGGTGTCTTTTTGTTAACTTGAAAATAACAAAATGGAGTCTGGTCTGTTCAGAGTGACTCAGAATATACACTTTTAGTTTCTATCATAGCACAAAATGTCTGCCAATATAAATACTCTGACAACTCGATCAAATCAATGAGAGCTAATAGAGGAACTCGATCAAATCAATGAGAGCTAATACAGGAACTCGATCAAATCAATGAGAGCTAATGGAGGAACTCGATCAAATCAATGAGAGCGAATACAGGAACTCGATCAAATCAATGAGAGCGAATACAGGAACTCGATCAAATCAATGAGAGCGAATACAGGAACTCGATCAAATCAATGAGAGCGAATACAGGAACTCGATCAAATCAATGAGAGCTAATACAGGAACTCGATCAAATCAATGAGAGCTGATAAGGGTTGAAATGCTCACTGCACTTGGAGTCTGGTATTATATTTGTGTTACTAATTCCCTTCTTACAAAAAATAATAAATGAAAACAATCACAGGAAACACACACCTGTAACAAAGGTCAATGAAACTTGACATATCGAACATTTTCTGGGCTACTACAGGCCCCTTAAAAAATAAAGTATTTCATAACTGTACTCCTTTCCTGTGGAACATGGTTTATGACAATTTATTTATTATGCTAAGTCTCCTGATTAAACAGATGGTTTACGTTGGGTTAACTTTATGGGTTAACCTCTTAAGAACCGATTACACATCAATCATGTCCACCATAAAATATCCTGCTTATTGAAGGCTGGAAGCTGGCCTACATAATAATGGAATTCCCTACTTTCTTTTTTCTGATGAATTAGAAAAGGCAATTTGGTTTGTGTATTTAGGGATTTATATCACAAAGGTCAATGGTCAACTCTCCAAAATTAAGTTATGGAAACACCAGGACTGGCTGAAAGATCTACAACAGTCTGTGGAAGCAGTTGGACAGGCTGATAAAATGTTTCCTGGCTTCTTCAGAAGACGCAGTCTGTGAGATTTAGATACAAATGGAACACTCACTGGTCAGTATATTTTAATATATATGAGAAAGGGTACTAAAACGTTGATGAAGTGAGCCTTTAAACACGAATCTGGTCAAATGGAAGAGAGAGAAAGAGGAATTTTCATCCTCCCATTTAGCAAAGCAGATCCATTCCACTACCAAAATCTATGGAAACAAATTGTTCAGAATTGGATACAAAATATTATTCATTTTTTTTCCACTGAAGATTTTAAAGGATTGAAATTCTCCAAATCGTGATTCATGGAGAGAATGATTAAGAGCACAGTGTAACAAGAAGAGGTCTGCTGCGTTTGTTTTCGACATAAATCGAATCATGCAAAACATATTCCAGGCTCCTGGTTAGCAGCCAACTTAGTCTCGTTCCAAATTTAACATTTTCTTTTTCCATGACAATCTTAAATATTAGTCTCGTGGCACGTATAGCACAAGGGGAGCCTTAGAGACACCAACGCAATGCAGCAGATATCATCTATTTATATTCTCTTCTGATACGGTGCCACATACAAGGTTACTGAAAAAGAAATACAACTTTTTTTTTGTTTTGTTTTTAAACATCTAAGAAAATGGGGAGGCAGCCAATATTTGTTCCTGGAAGCCGGTTAGTGGTTATTATGGTACACAATCCGATATAATGGAATGTATATAGAGTTCAGCAGTTTGGGAAAGTCACTGTACACTACTGCCTTGTGGATATGAATTAACACAAACTGGCGCATGGCTGATGCACTACTGCAAGTAAAACGTACAAAGTCACACTATCAAAGGAAAATACACTGGAAAAAAATACATTTTCAAAAATGCTAAAATAAATGTATATGAACACACACATAAAAGGTGCACTCCAGGCTCGGACCATGGTTTTCAATGCATTATACAAATTACAAACAGAAAAATAATATTACTTTTACTCTTACAAAGTTAATGTTAAATTTCATGTATTTGCCGCAAATTCCAAGGATACGCAGCTATTGCGGTGAGCTCACGACACACAAGGATATATAGTTGGTTCCTCACAGTCAATCCTTGTGGCCGTGTTGTTTTGTGTGAGATTGCTGGACATAGTGCGGGGCATGGGGTAATACCCTTGACAGCAGTTTATACAGACACATAAATGAGACTACTGCCCAAGCGTGGCTGGCACAAAATGCGTTGGACATCATGTCACTAGAACAACTACGAAATTACACATTTATAATGGCAATGCCTTTTAACTGCTTCCCATATCCTGAAAATTATTAAACATAAAATAAATTTAAGGGGGGCGGAGTCTGACCGCCAAGCTGAACAGACGCATGGGGAAGGAGCTCCCGGCGGGCGAGCAGAAAATAAGGCGATATCAGCAGCTGTGTAGCCCAAAGACGTACTAAAGTGCTCTACCCACGCTGGGGGAGCCCCAAAGAATCGGGGGATACCCTTTTGGATCCTGTAGGGGCACATAGACCGCAACGCAAATTGAGGCCTGCGGGAGTTGGAGCCGGGGAGAGGCGGCCGCTCTCTTTGACTCCAGACACCTCAGAACACACGATTGAACTCCTACCCCCCCCCCTGGACCGGTGGGGGATATCCCGGTCCCCACAAGACAAGCAGGCTAACGCAGAAGGCAAGGGAGACAACGCTGACAGCGGCGAAGGCACGAGCCAGCAGAGTGTGCCCAAGATGGCCGCCCACCGACCACTAAAGAAAGCAACCAAAATCACCCAGGAGCACCCTCATCCTCTAGTAGCCTTAGACCGGCTCTGCTCGGCTTTCTGCAGGATACTGTGTGACAGGGGAGTGCCCTACCCTCATGCAGCACGGGTGGTAGCCTCGTGGGTTCGTCCGGAGACCCGCCGACGCCGATATGGAGACCCACTGCGGTCCTTCAGGGAGGCAGCCCGGCCACACAGGCATCGACCCACAACAGGGCGAGAAGCGAACCTCTCAGGCCCGGGCACACTCACCCACCTCCACAAACAGGGTAAGGTGAGAGATGGGTACCCCCAAGGCCCCAGCAACACGCCAAAACACAATTCCACAGAACACCAAGCTCCCACGTGGCGACCCAGGGCTGCAACAGAGCGGCGCGCCGAGGCAAGGGCAACAGACACGCCACACCGAGCCGCTGGGGGAACCGAACTTGCGGAAGCCGTACACAATGAGGCAAGCTAACAGACGCCATCGGCAGAGAGCCTCAACACTCACCTGGAACTATGCTACATATGTGCCAGTAACTTGTGCCTCGGAACATTATTTTGCTTTTCTCACTATTATTATTTTTTTTTTTTTCTCGGCTTCACTACTTAGTCTTGTATATTTTCGGCGGCCTTTTCTTTCTTGCACACTCTCTCCTCCTGCTGCTTTGTGTAGTTTAGATGGGCAGTTAATAGTCGGAGCTAAGTAAGCGTTTTATAGATAACAAAGCACAGGGTCCATTACGTACAGCTCAGAGTAAAGGGGATCTTTATTTCTTGTACTAAGAGATCATCAGACGTAATGTTAGCGAGAATGCCTAAAATACTGCTATGTACATATGTGTAACCAAACATAGTGCCTATAAAGAACAGAGTGGAGTAAACGCGCTCTCTGTTTGTCCTACTGAGATATAATCCGTTGCGATGCTTGTGAGAACGACTGAAACACTTTTTATATTATCTGATATAGCGAACTACAACCACACATGTTTAAGCCAGTTTAACCTGTAACTAACTATAGAAATGTCCAAGCCTGAGAAACATTAGCAAGTTATTAAATTTGATCGCCAACTTTCTAACTACGTTCTGTCATATCCTAACAATACCTACGTAATGTAAAACTAGATGGTGTAGAACTTTACAAAAAAAAAAATGTGCTTGTTTTATTATGTACCTCTATGTTTGACTGTTTTAATCCGCCGGAGGATTACCTTTGGGGTACCTTCAGAGCGACTGTTATAAGCTTACGCACAACAAAAATAAAGAATTATAAAAAAATTTAAAAAAAATAAAAATAAATTTAAGAATGTGAATTGTTAATGTAGAAATTACTTCTTTCAAAGTGTTTTGGGTAAACCAATAACATCTACATTAATTACAAATGGGATTCAGAAATGTTAAAATACAGCAAAACAATACTCCGCTTTGAATTTCAGAAATGTAAAAAAAAAAAAAAAATTCAAAAAAACACCTAAAATTCTTCGGGTTAGATCATTTTGAGTGGAATTTATAACAGCCAATAAATATTAGAAATATTCTCTCAGCACACAAACTGGGCATACAAGTTAAATCCACACAAAAATCCATCTTTACCCCCCAAAATGAAACTTTCTGTGTGTGGGATTTGCGCGAAACAGCAGCCTTTTCTCGTTAACGCAATTAATCTAAAACCTAAAGTCAAATGACAGAAACAGTGATTATAAAAAAAAAATACATAAAATGGTGCAATTTGGAGATTTAAAAAAAAAAATGGATTCTTTGGTATAAATCACCACCGTACATCTTTACACCTAAAGGGGCAGTCTAAGCACGATAATCACTTCATCATCCAGTTTAAAGTCTGGCATTAGAACGTAGCGTATGCCTCATACAGAAGCATTGCATTGGCGGAGAGCAGCATTTCCTGTGCACGCTTTGGATATCTGCAATGTTTCTCCAAGAGAAGCGTCTGATTGTTGACTTGTAGACGGATAAGGATGCAGCACAGTGACTCAAATAAAGGTAGGCTTATGGGTGGTTTTTAAACAGGAAAAGGAGGAATTAATTTAAAGATAGTTGTTTTTTTTAAATTTGGTTTTCCTTTCCTTATGCCCCTTGTATCTTGAAGGATTACTTTAAGCATTATAATAATTACAGCCGGCCGCCGTGGTAGTTATGATGGAAGGAGTACCCTGGCCTCATTTCCCGGTAACAGGGCAAACTAATTTGGAACGGTTTGCCCTTACCTGGGTCCTCAGTGGTGACAAGTGGCCTCTATGGCCAGTAACGTGCATACAGCTTCTGCAAAGATGTGAAAAGCGGATTTTCATCCCACCGGCCATACATCTGCTGACCGATCTCAGCCAATGAATGCAATTCTGTGCATAGAAATAGGCACTTGACATTAGCTATTTCCTCATACCTTGCTCTACATCGTCATCATCATCAACCTTGCTCAACTTTATCACCATTAGCATCTACCGGGCTCAACATCATTAACTACATTGCTCAACGTAGTCATGATCATCCTTGCTCAACACAGTCCTCATCATCATCTACCATGCTCAACTTTGTTGTTATCATCAATAACACTGCTCAACATATTCATCCTCAGCTACCCTGCTCAACATAGTCACCATCCTCATTTACCTTGCTCAACATCGTAACCATCATCTACCCTGCTCAATCTCATCACCATCTTCATCATCTACCCTGCTCAACATCGTCATCAACCAGGCTCAACATCATCTTCCATACTTTACATTTTCATACCCTACTGAACATTGTCACTCATCTACCCTGCTCAACACTGTCACCTTTCAGGCTCAACATCATCTACCCTTCTCAACACCGTCTCCATCTTCATCATCTAACCTTCTCAACACCGTCACAAGCTTCATCATCAACCCAGCTCAAAATCGTCACCATCTTCATCATCAACCTAGCTCAACATCATCTTCTACCCTGTTCAACATCATCACCATCTTCATCATCTACCCTTCTCAACACCGTCACCATCTTTGTTATCTAGCCTGCTCAACATCGTCATAATCATCATCTACTCTGCTCAGCATCATCACTATTATCATCTACCCCGGTCAAAAACATCAGCATCTACCCTGCTCAATATCGTCACCTTCACCATCTACCCTGCTCAATATCGTCACCTTCATCATTTACCTTGGTCAATATCGTCACCTTAATCATCTACCCTGCTCAATATCGTCACCTTCATCCTTTACCCTGCTCAATATCGCCCCCATCCTTTACCCTGCTCAATATCGTCACCTTCATCATTTACCTTGGTCAATATCGTCACGTTAATCATCTACCCTGCTCAATATCGTCACCTTCACCATCTACCCTGCTCAATATCGTCACCTTCATCATTTACCTTGGTCAATATCGTCACCTTAATCATCTACCCTGCTCAATATCGTCACCTTCATCCTTTACCCTGCTCAATATCGCCCCCATCCTTTACCCTGCTCAATATCGTCACCTTCATCATCTACCCTGCTCAATATCGTCCCCATAATTTACGCTGCTCAATATCGTCACCATCATCTACCCTGCTCAATATCGTCAACTTCATCACCTACGCTGCTCAATATTGTCATTACCATCATCCATTCCACTCAATTTCGTCCATTTGATGAAATTCCTGCTCTGTGTATTAACCCTCTACGTCTGATGGAAGTTACAAGGAATTGTACTTTATGGACTGACTTTTTTTGTCTGAAAGCTTGCTGAATTTAGACTCAAGTCAAACAGCGTTATTATGAATTATACTCTAGAAAGCATTAAAGATTTCTAATTAGTATTATAGAAAAGTACACATTAAAGAAAACTATTTTGTGCATTCCTCGTTCCTATATTTCAGGGCTCAAAATTTTCACTCGCCACTAGTCTTTAGCAAGAGAATACCTAGTCCTAGCAAAACGAAATCCCACCTCTATAAATATGAACCCTCCAGGCTTGCAGTGACTGCTACATTTTAAAGGCCTGTCTATTAGCAAAGTCCTTTGTATTTATTTGGGCTAGTCCCAGAATCCAGAACCCTTTAAACTTTTTTTTGTTTTACTTTATAGCATTCTTTGTTTATTTAACATCCCAACTAGCACTTAGCGCCAAAGTCTCTAAACTCATATTGCCTCTTCCTCTGGTCTCTTTTACCTGGTACCACCAAAGGCCATGCTCATGGGATCATATAATACTATGCCACTATTGGCATAATATGTCAGGCTGTGCCTGGGCAGGCATATATATGATTTTAATTAAAAACATTTATTTCCCCACAAAAATACAAAAAACAAACCCAGAAAAACTTACAAACTACTGTGGAAAATTAAATGAGATGACACTTCGTAATAATAATTGTATTTTTATTTAACAGAAAGACCATATGAAAAAAGTTGGGGATAAAAAAATAATATAATTATGACCATTTTATTGCAGTAGAACCATATGTTGCCTTAGTCCATCTGTAACGGAACTACAAGTATAGAAGTCTGTGTTTTGGGTCACTTTTCAATCCATTCAGACACCCTAAAAGAAACGCCACAGGCACAGAATCTAAAATCGCACTAACTTATAAGATCACAATAACCCTCACAAAACCACGCACTGCTACAGCAGCACTGCTCCGATTCATTTATTTATATAAATGTATAACCTGTTAGAACTCAAACCCTGAGTGTCTGCCTGTTTGGAGCTAGAGAGGGGTGGAGGTTAGAATGATATTGGATTCTGCACATCTCACTGCATATACTCAGCATCTATAATAAAAGTTTAATCAGTGAGCATGTGAGAGGTCAGGCACATACTGCTTATAATTATAACACATTGACACATTTCTGTAAAATAATGATGAAAATGTTGTTTTTTGTAGAGAAATACATTTAAAAAGTGATTTTCTATAGCAAAGGTTTAACACAAAGAAAAATCATATTTTATACACACACATACATGTTTTGCAGTTTATATAATAATATTGTTGTGGCTCGGGCACCTTTATGGATTTTTACATAATCTGCTAAGTCTCCCGCAGTTGGTATCCTCTTTCCAAAGTAAAGATGGGGGAGATGTACTTACCAATAGCGCCACCATGCTTCACCAGCTCCTCCACTTGATCCATTAAGAGCTTGTGTTACTGCTGTATTCCTGCGCATGTACAACACAAAGGACTACGGAAGATCCACCAGAAAACACCCGCGACGTGTGAGGAAATACCAGCAACCCACAGCCGTCACTTGTGAATTTTGTGGGAAATCACAAAATTCTATGCAGTAAAGTCCACACTTTGTCAAGTTCTGCCAAACTCAGACTTGCCCATAAGACAAAATAGGAATTTTATTATATTCCAACACAGTCAGTATGAGCATTTTATAAGATTTAGGCTTTATGAAATACTCAAACAAGATAAAGTCAGAAAAAATGGGTAGATAAGCTAATGCCATGCACACAATGTGGGTACCCAATAAAAATGTAGACAACCCATGATATAGAAAGTGGATAGAATTATTATAAATGTGAAAGTAATAAATTAAAACATCACTAAAAAAACTATATAATTTATTTTCTTCCCAGAATTTTTTTTTTTTTGATTTCTTTAACAAATGGCATATTTGCTCATTTGAGAAAAAAAATCCTTTAGATAGGGAGATGAATTTCTAACCAAAAGACAACTTTGATTTTTGCACAAGTAATAACACTTCAGTCTGTAAAAAAATAAAAGGTATTTGTGATTTAGCCATAACAAGCCTCATCATTCATCTCCATGTGGCATGTGTACCTTGTAAAAGGGGTGAGTGTTAGAAACTGATAAATTAATGTTAAGATTTTAATGGCGGCGTTTTTGTTAGTGCTCGCATTTGGGATTTCGGTGATGTGTTGGTTCTGTTTGGGGGGGTCTCGCTGAGTGTCATGTTGTGGTTTCAGATTCTTGTTGATAAATTTGTTAATTGAGGTCTTTGCGGACAGAAATATTGACATTTTGGTTGTTATTTGAAATGTTGCTGCTATGCTTATCACTGATAGAAATACTGTTGCTGGAGGTCTTGGTGATCAACAATAGTTGGGAGTTTTTAAATAAAAGGCTGCCATTACAGGTTATTGTTCCTTGAAAGTTTAAATTGTGGAGTTCTTGATTAAATTGTAGGCATCTGGGGTTCATGCCAATGAAAATGCTGGACTTTGGGGGTTTTGTCCATTAAAACGTAGGTATGTTGGTGTTTGACGTTCTAACTGAGTGAAGTGTTGATGTTTCTGGTTCTAGTTGAGCGAACAGTTGGATATTGGGGGTTCCAGTTTAAATGATAGAGTTATTGATTACATTGTTTAGAATTGTGGTTCATGTTAACAGAAATACTTACTTTTGGGTTCTTTTCATTAAACTGTCTTGTTGATAGAAATATTGATGATTGTGATTCTTTTTATTAAACTGTTGATGTCTTACTCTTGGAACTTGGTTAGAACAGGGTTGTAAAAATATTTTGCAGAAAATCTTAGAAACGAGAGTGAAAACGTATACACACGTTGACTTTGTTTTAATTACCAGCAACTGCCTCGACGACCCGTCTCTCACCACCATAATGCACAAAGAATCTAAATGGGTTGACTTCCTCACACTTCTTCTCAAAATTCAATTAATCAGCACTGAAATTAATACCGAATATTACAATATGACAAATCAGAATCTAGTCACAGACATGTTTATCTACCAGTGTCTTAAATAATAGCACAATCATGCCCTTTTATAAAGTCAGCAATATTTACAAAATAACTGTTTATTTATATTATATAAATAAGAACTGCTGAAAGTCACTTACACTAACATTTTTATGAAGAAAATGTAATTATATTGTTTTTAGAATTAAAAATTTAAGGAAAAGTAGGTTATTTGCTGAACTGTAGCAGAGCTTTAGTTAAAAAAAAAAAAAGTAGATAATTACTGAGTGGCAAGGCTTTCAATATTTTATAATAACCTATAATCAGTATTTATAGGCACTCATTAGGTGTATGGATATGTTTCTCACATCTTTCACTTTACACAAATCTACATTTGTGACATTAATAATAAAAGATGTATTAATCAAATTTGTTAATTAATAGCATTTCAACAAATTGTGCAGCTGTAGATACACTAAATAACATAGCACTACGCTAACACTAACAAAATGTTTATTTGGTCATTTACGATGCATTTTTATTTCTCAAAAATTTTAAATTCTCAAAACATAAATTTTAACAAAATTATCTTTCCCCATCTCAACATCCTCCCTCCATAATCCTGTTTCCATTTGAATATGATCAATAACAAAAATTAAAAAAACAAAACAAATGTAAAACACATGTATATGTACTTTTCTAAACGTCAAGAAAAATATTTCCATGACATTTGTACTGTATGAACGGCTTGGAGAACATCTTTAATACTCTGGGGCCTATACAGGCCTCAAATGTCTATACGGTTAGGTGGATCTGAAGATAATATAAAAATGCACAAGAAACATTTTAATGAAATATGTATAGTTAGATTCCCCCCCTCCTCCCCCCAAAAATGTTTTTTTTATTTACAAAAATAAAATGTAAACTAAAAAAAAAAAAAAAGGCAAGTATGATAATTACAACATTTTGTAATGCAGTTATGGAAGAAATTTAGAATAGTTGTAAAAATAAAAGCATACAGATATTAAACAACACCGACCGAGTATGGAAAATGAAAGGTTAAGAGACTGCAAATATTTTTGTCTCCAGGATTAGTGGTTCTGAAATGTCCAAAATAATTAAACAGATGATTAATTTTCAAAACCATTTTATCAAAATCTAAGATTTAGAAACAACATATAATCAACTAGAATAGCACAAAGGCCTTCATTTAACATCTAGTTTCAAATACATTTCCTACAGAAAATGTAATTGTACAAAAAAAAACACACACACCAAAATAAATAAATAAAGATTTAAAGAGTTTCACTAGACGGAATTGATTAAAATTGCCCACTGCTCTAAATCCTGTTTGACATTAAAAAAAAAAAAATGTAAAAAAAAATAATTTAATTTTAAATAAATTAATTAAATTCTACAATCTACAAATTCATCCAAATATATCACGTAATCTTGTTGTTTGATCACAATGAAAAGCTATAAATTCAAAGAATAAGAACATAATGCTTGCCAAGATGGGGGGGGGGGGCGCTTAATTTCCACTATAGGTTTCATCCTCTACGGCCAGTATGAGCAAATCAATTAATTAAAATTTAATTCAATATGGCAGACACTGTTTGAATGAAATGTGTCACATGCCTTCTCGATGCAGTAATAGACCATTAGCAAAACATCATATATATTTTTTTAAATTAATGCACGTAACTCTTAACACAGGATTTCACAATTACACAAAATTGAATTTACTGATTGCTGCTCCAAACAGCAGTCTGCACATTAAATTCAGCAATTTTCAAATGTAGCAAAAATGTTGAGAATTCACACAAACATCTTATCAACATTGAAAACAGAATGCAGAAATAACAAGAACCCGGCTACATTAATCCTTTGGCTGTTTTGAAGGATCTGCAGTAAATTCCACCGAATCTGTATTTTTCTTTATAATATTAATTTCAAAAAAAATAAAAAAAATAAAATAAAAAAAAATAAAAATAAACTTGAAGTTGGAGTTGGACTGGAGACGAGAAATGTAAATTTGGGTGTGTCCTTGGGAAATTTTGCTTTCAGAGCAGAAATCCCATTCCAAGCAGATACAGAGCCATTCACTTCATCTTTACTGAAATCACTGAAATTTCAGATTTTTCCTCTCCTGTGTTTTAACTGCATCAGATTTGCACATTTAAACCAATTCCCCAAAACAGCTGCACCTCTAGAAATTCAATTTAAAAAAATTAATGAAAAATTAATTTAAAAAAAAAATTTAAAAAAATTGAAAAAAAATTAGAATTTTGTCAGCCATGTCAGAAAATGATAAAAAGATTGGGATTTGTGAGTGTTGGGCTGAGGATGGTGAAGGGCAAAGTGGGGACCAGATGAAAAATCTCCATTTCTACAAAATGTAAAAACCAGAAATGTTGTGATTTGGGGAAATGAAAGTTTGAGATTTTAGAAATGAGCAAAAAGCAGCTAAATTTCCTTTTTTTTTTCTTTTCCATAGAATTTGGGCGCAGTGCCGGGGCTGGTCGCCAGGTGGCGCCCGATAATGGCACAGGCTGCCGCTACAGAGA